GAAGGTTTGACCTCCTGGACATGGACAGGTTTATAGTAAAAGCTGTAAAAATGTGGAATAACCTTCCACAACACCTAATTCTTGCCATTTCAGTAGATTGCTTCTAAATGTACAACATAGAACTGGCTATATATATATAGGGCTGGTAATTATTAAAATTTTCGTGTTCGATTAATCGCATTTACCAGCCCTAATATATCTATATATATATATCCAATAACACCATAGATCGATGATTCATGCACGATCCAATATCCTTTTGTATTTTTTAATAAGGAGTTATCTACCTTCCTCTGGATCATCTGTGCTCTTAGGGTTCTGAGGATGAAGGTTTGTAATTTGTTTTTAGCTTTGGTTGAACTCGATTGACCGGTGTCTTTTTTTTAACCTGCATAACTGTGGAGGAGGAGATCAGATCATTGACTTCTGGGAGAGAACAAAATTATGGTTGCAATTACAGATCAAGATATGTTCTTGTTTAGTCTAGAGTAAGGGATGAGTTCAGGTTCATTTGGACCAAACCCGGTTCAAAGCTGAGCTCCTCCATACTCAGAAGGGACAACTGCACAATCACCTGTGGGGCTGGGCATTTCCCACCTTGCAACTACACATGGGCTTCTACAGCCATACCACTGTAGGTCAATGTCATGGACCAGACATAGCCATCTGGCCATATAAGGTTAATCATGTCACAGCATTAAGCCCCTTTGCTTACATGTGGAATTCCACCGCCCCAAGCTGATTGGGCAGCGGCTGAAGAAGCTTTCTTCTGCCCTCAGAGGAGCTCAGGTTTGTTCTGGGTGCCGCTGTAACAACCTCTGCTGTGATTGCACGCCGCCTGTGTGATTACTCACTACCCGATATAAAAAACAACTTTCTTGATTTTAGCAGAAATTAGGACATCTCACCTATACATCAAACTGGCGCGTTTCGTCCCCCACTGGGGCTTTATCCTGATGCCACTATGATTTAGGCCCAGAAGGGGGCAAAACGCATCAGAGAGCATGGGTGGAATGTACTCATTTCTGCTGGATGAGTAAAATTGTTTCTAAGCTGTTCGGAACATTGGCGTGCGACTTCACATTTGTACCACGCAGTACATTTGGTTAGTACTAAAATCACTGAAAAGTATGCAGATTTAAAAGGAAGGACAGTTCTCAAGGTCGATGCTTCTCCACCTTGGAAAGGAGGATGGGTG